TGTTATTTTGATGATATTAAAGGAGGAGAAAAAATATGATTTTTGCTTTTGAAAATTATATGTTGCAGGGTTATCAAATATTTTGTTGTTATCAAATATTTTGTCAATTTTATTTTGTGTCAAATCCATACAAATATTACTATCATCAAAAATGGGGAGATTGTTAATTATATTATTTAATTTTGATGATGTCTAAAATATTATTTGTAACAATTTGGATTTTTTTAATATACATATTATTTGACACAAAATATTATCTTTTTAAAAATATATATATTTGTTAAATATTATAATAAAAATATTTTTGAAAACTTTACTATTCACTTTTTGAAAATTTAGGTTGATCACTATTCACTTTTTGACAAAATAAAAATATTTTTGAAAACTTTACTATTCACTTTTTGAAAATTTAGGTTGATCACTATTCACTTTTTGACAAAATAAAAATATTTTTGAAAACTTTACTATTCACTTTTTGAAAATTTAGGGTGATCACTATTCACTTTTTGACAAAATAAAAATATTTTTGAAAACTTTACTATTCACTTTTTGAAAATTTAGGCTGATCACTATTTACTTTTTGACAAAATTAAAATTGATTAAAATGATTGATTTGTTGTATTATCTTGACAAATATGAGATTAATGAGTTGTCTTCTTTTGACAAAATTAATATGGAGTGGTAGAATATATTTAGTTTAAAATCTCTACAACATATACAATATTTTAAAGAGGGCATATATTTTCAGATCCATCATAAATATTATTTAAAGAGATTTTTCTGTGCATGCAAATATTTGATTAGAACATTATATATATATATATATATATAACTTTATATATATAATGCATATAATACAAATAGTATACATCACGGAGTAATTATATTTTTTTTACACAACATTAATTGTATCATATATATTAGTGTGTAGAAACATTGAATATTAGCATATGAAAACATTAATTATTAACATGTGGAAAGTCATACAAGATATAATTCAAATTATTTTTTTTTTTTCTTTTTTGTACACCTTTGACTAATACCTAAAGATGTTCAAATTTGCAAGAGTGCAAATTTTCTTACACGTTATTCTCTTCCAAACTAATGTCATCCATGACGTCAGCAAGGAGCATGCTTATGTAAGCCATGACGTCAGCAAGGAGCGTCTAACAGGTATATTTTTGTGTATAAATAGAAGTGTTGTGTGTGGAGAAAAATCAAGAACTTAAAGAGAAAATTTTCTGTGAGCTCCAAAATTCTGAGTATATTGTATTCTGCTCTTTCACTTTCAGATCTAAGTCTAGTATTTGTTCTTACATTTTCATATCTACTCTTTGTGAGAAAATTATTGTAAAAGAGGGTTTAAGTACCACTTATTCTTATTCCTTATTTTTGTGAGAGATTTATAAGGGTAGACATTTATTGTTAAGTGAGGCTCAATAGATAAGAGTAAGTCTTGTGCCAAATCCACAAGCTTGGTGGTGTATTTATTCAATTAATAGTAAAGAAATTCTCAAGAAGGTTCCTTGAGGAGTGGACGTAGGCCTGGCGTGCCGAACCACTATAAATCGCAGTGTTTGATTTTCTCTTCCTATCTCTCTTACTTTTATATTGATAATTATTATTCTGTTTTTTTATTTATTTATTAGAATTCTGAATATTGTGTTAATTTTAATATTGTGAAATTTTTAGCAACCCAATTCACCCCCTCTCTTGGGTTGCCTATCTGGGATAACAGATCCCAACATGATTCTAAACAATAACAACTTACAAATAGCTATAATCATGAATGATTCATCTCATACTATATAAATAATGTGACGGCTATAACCAAAGTATATTTATATAGTTACTTTTCTCAAAATCATCCAATTTATTCAACAATATGGACAGTTCACATTTCTTTCCCATTTTCTATTTTAAAAATATCACGCAGCAACCGTTTGCTTTTGAAATATGTTCAACAATTTCGATTTCCTCATATTACTTACAAACTCAATACGTAATCTACGTCCATTTTTAACACGTTCATTACATATTCCGGGCCTTAAGCCCAAAGTTAAAAAGATACTTTCAACAATTAATTTGATACGCCCACATATACACATAAACTTCTAACACGAAAAATGCAAAAAACCAACACCCAGCAATTACCTACTCAACATGTAAGACAGCCCAGCCTTTCTGAACCATAACCATCATAACGCATGATATATACAGAAACACTGAGACAATAATGATAAACAAAACAAAACTCTGCTCCACCTACCTCAAGCACGGTAAGCCAAAGATATACTTTTTCATAACGAAATGCCAATTTACTAGACACCGGCTGAAAAGTAATGATACCTCTGCTAAGTTCTCTAGGCACTAGCTGAAAGGTAATAGTACCTCTGATTCTAAACGCAGTCAATTCTCCAAGCACTAGCTGAAAGGTAATGATACCTCTCATTCTTAGCACAGTAGACAATGGCAACCATCACAACATGTTAAGAGTACAAATAATACAAGTGTAATACATACACATAATCTATTCAACAATAGTGTCATCCTCCACCGATGAGCAAGAACAAAACCTCTAAACACATGTACTTAATACCTACAATACAATGTTCAAATCTTCTTAAGACCTTAAGTCCAACAACAACATTAGTAAATAAAATACTCATGATCCAATCCATGAGTTCATTTCTAAATTTGAAATGTGTTGTGATTTCATTCTCTTTTCAAAATCAATTATCTTATTTTCCAAATTCTCATACTCCAACCTTTATCCAAAGTCCATTCTCTTCATTTCACAAAATTAAATCCATAGATATCAAAACCATAACCCAACTCAATTTAACATAATTAACCCAAAATAATTCCAATACCATGGTTAATTATCCCTTTTAGTTATTAACATACCTACACAATCCATATTAACAAAGCACAAACATTATTCAATTTTATCCCTTTTTAATTCACTAAATCAAAATATTAAATTAGGACTTTTTCTCTCTCTCAACATAAACATGTTAAGCTACTCCCCAATTAACCCAAACAACAATCAATCCCTTTTCTCTCTCTTAACATAAACATGTTAAACTACTCCCTAATTAACCCAAACAACAATAAATTTAACAATTTAACTCCAAACATTCAGACCCTAGATCCCCTTTCATAATTTTCAAAGAAATCCATAATGGAAATGATTTTTGTGCAATAAATCTACCACATGTCTATCTGTAGATCAAGTATTGAAAAGGAAAAAGGAAATTCGTACCTCTTGAAGCGACGAGAAGAAAGCCAAAAATCCACGGCGACGAAAACAAGATCCACTCAGATTAAAATGAAGCCCTCGTAACCCTCTACGTTTTGATCTAAAAAACTATGGGTAGAAAATGAGTAGAAATAGATGAAAACCAAGTTAGAAAGCTTGAAACCCACAAAAATGGTGAAAGAGAAGAAGAGGGGAGAGAAAAGAATGGAGAAAATAGGACCAAAATGGCCTTTTAAAGATGCTGAATTCAAACAAACTGCTTAAGCAATGAAACTGTCACTTGAGCGAAGAACACAAACTCCCAGAAGTTCAGACCGTGCAATACCCCACACAATATAATTTACACAGAACAGTTAAAAGTACATTCTTCACATATACACAACACATTTCCATTCAAATATTTCTCTTTCTCATTGAACCACAGATTTTGCTTACAAAACAATTTTAAAATACCTATCTTTGTTCAATAAGTTAGAGAAGATTACAAAACAATTACATTGCCCTTGTAGTTACTATTTACATTGAGACATTATTACAAAATCACAAAACTCAAAATAAAATAGAAAAGGTGTTCCAAGAGTACATTACAACTTCAAGTCCACAAAACATTAGACTTTTAACATTATATTTTCCTTCTTCTTCTTCTTCTTCATAGACGGGTTTGGGGCTTTTCATTTCCTGAAATGTTAGTAAAATAGGAATGAGCAATGTTGCCTAGTAGAGAATAACTTTATCCAAGTATATAAACATTTGATTTAAATATGCATGACCTTTATTAATGTCCAAGAGTCCATATGTATTTTAAACTTTATTTTTTACAACACACAATTCACAATCAACTTCCACACTTTTTCCATCCTCACAGGGATGGCATGTGGACGCCTCAAACCTTTCCACTTTCGTCGTCCTCACATGAACCAGCCAATGGATGCCTCACAACATCCCCACATTCGTTACCCTCATGCGGACCGAGCAAGTGGGCACCTCAAACACAATCCCACATTTGTCGTCCTCACACAAACCGGGCAAGTGGGCACCTCAAACACATTCCATAACATGAACATTTTACACACAACACTAACAACTACAAGGATTCTCCAATTTTACTTATCAATTACTGGCCATTAATTTTTTTTTTTTCCCTCCTAAAACAGAGTCTCATGTTATTTTTCCATACCTTTTCTTCTAATAATAATAAACAGATTCTGCAAAAATTGATTTTTTTTTTTTTAACAAAAAATATATACACATAAAATTAGCTCTAAATTGATATTAGTTACAGACTATACCATTCATATGTATTAAAAAATAATGTTAGTTATGACCCTTAAAATTATAAGCTTCAATTACATTTCTATGATTTGAAAACATAAAAATGTGTGATTGATAGATTGAGAACTATAACCATAAATTGTAAAAACCTCACTCTTCTAATTACAACTCTCTTCTGCTGAATATTGATAGTCCATTCTTAGATTTTAAAGAGCTTCTTAGTAAAAAAGATTGCATTCAAAATAAGGACAATTGAAGAATGATATTCTATAGATCCTGCTTTATACAATTGAGAGAGTACAAAGTTTGGATCTTCTTGTTTCACAGTCACTGAGTTGGTCTTGAAACCAAAGTACAAACATCAAAGATGAGAACAATATGCCACAACCGATCCAGTCTCATGCTAGTACTTAACCACCACAATACTATGGCTTCAATTGAGAGAGAGACAGAGAGAGAGAGAGTATAATACTGCAAAAAGATAAAACTAGCTTTATGTTTTTAAGTCATTCTCGTCCACAGCAGTTTGAACTTTCCTGTAATTGAAGAAATATTCCAATAGCAAGTACAGATTCTTTTACATGGTGAACTCAAATGGTTAACAACCTAACAAGAAAGGCAGCCAATGGCCTGGAACTATCTCGTTGAACAATAATCCTATGTTCCTAAGAATCCGCTTTATCCAAGGAAATTCATAATCACCAAATGGAGCACCAGATTACAGAGAACAAAGTCCGCAAAAGCACGTTCTGGTGGCAAATCCTGCAATTGAATGAAAAGATAGCAAATAAGAAGAAAATAATATCAGTGCCATAAGATCGTCTGTGGCTTAGCATTTTGCCACACAGATCACCTCTGCAAGCAGCAGCCACTCACAGGCAGGGGGAAAATGAATTGTTTGTGATACTTTTTTGAGTATGAATTGATGTGCTATGATTTTAAACCCCATCGTTAAAAAATACAAAAAAGCTTTTCCATGAAAACAAATGAAGTTTAAGTTCTTATACTTTTTTCCTATGGGCAATTCAGTGTAACGATTTTAAATTCCCACTCTTCTTCCCTATGGGCAAGGTCGGTAGTAACTTGAGAAGAAAAACACAAAGAGGGAGGGCCCTGACAACGGAAATCTTACCTTGAATTCTTTGTTTTCTTTGTTCACTTGGATACGGAGACAAACTGTAGCCAAAAAAACAAGTAAGTCTATTTCCCAAATGTAACGGGAACATTCTCGACACAAAAATCAAAATATTGTTTGCTTACTAGCGAGAACTGCTGTCCCTACACAAGAAAGAACTCCGGACAGAAAAGAGTTGAATGGGAAAGATCCAACAACAGCCATGTAAACTACCTGTTCATCAGCAAAATGAATATGTAAAGCACAGAGCAAGTAAATCACCAAATCCTCACCCCAAAACAAATCAAAACTCATACATGTGCACAGACCAAAAATAAAAGGAAAAGAAAGAATTACTTTCCTAGTTGCAGAAGCAATCACAGTAGGAAAGGTGAAGGTGGTCTCAATGAAAATTAATTATGTAAGATTGTAATGGGAATATGGGATTCCCAAGGAAAATGTAAAAGCGCATGTGTAAGGACCTGGATCTCCCCAATGAGGCTTTTTATTGCATTTACAGGTTCGCATACCTAAGATACCTTCTAAAATTTCAATTATTAACCTGAGTTTTATTTGTTGATAATGGTGATGTTCCTACGAAACCACAATGGTTACTTGAATAGAATAATTTTGAATACAAAATGTGAGCAATATAGATAAAACATAAGGAATAAAAACCATATTCCTATATAAATAACGAAAATTCTTTTCATAAACAACCAGACATTAAGATAAAAGTAAAAAGGCGGGCAGTTCCTTTTACAGTTCTGAATTCTTGATGAGAATGATACTTAATATTGTTTAACTAAAGGAACCCGCAAAAATTTCAAAAAGAAAGAATCAGAAGCCTTTTAGAAATTTCAGAAAGAGGTCTTCAAAGTTGATGCATTGAAAAAAAGCCTACTACGATTAAATTCAATATGACCAGTAACCATTTTTTAGGTGAGCTGCAACAATCCAAATGGAAATAACCCTTACCATGATTCACAGTATAAGTAAAAACACGAATAAGTGTGAATCCATAAGTGCACTATGTAAAAATTTAGAACTAAAAATTGTTGGGATTCAAAATTTTTGATTGCTATTTCCACACATTGGTAAGAGATCTTATACTAGGACCTCACTTTGGCATGTCAAGGAAGTCACACTTTGCTCTAACCTCACCACCGTGGTTTTCAGCTCTAACAAAAATGTGTACAAAAGTCCCAGAGTAAATCTCTGTAATCGCTAGGACTGAGTATCTCAGTTGACGATTTTTTTTGTCTTCCCACATTTATGTTGTTTCATGATTCTTGAAGGCAATGCAATGCGAATTTCTTTTTCCCAACCCCTTTTCTCATTTCAGGAATTTTCTACTTCTAAGAACACTTCATCATTCCTGACTTGCGCAGGTTTCATCCTTTCTTGGTACTTGTCCATGCCAACTGATAATGTAACACATACTTCATCTTCAGGTTCTTATAAAGATGCAAATAATAAGGCTAAATGTTTACTTTCTTAAAATGAGTAAGCTCTATTTTACATTTCCTTTTAAGTCCATCATCTGGTATTGCTCAAAACATATATTTTTGAAAGCTAACAGGCTTTATTTCCTTAAACCTTTTTGAAAAGTGCAGTGAGCTGGACCAATCTGAAATGACAAGGGTTGCTATAAGGCCTGGAATTGTGATTGAACAAGGCCCATAATCTATGAAGCCCATAACCTATGAAGAGCCCTAGGCAAGATATGATCGGCCCATACCATACAGCATTAACCCGGATAAAGCAGAGCGCAAGCATGACCGGGCAAGTATTGCAGTCTGTAGACTGCGGAAGCCAAAAAAAAAAGAAGATATGGTGCAGACAAGGTACGAACGGGTCACTAGGCAATTGTCTAGCTCGGCGAAGGAATCTTATAAGGTCAACTAGGAGTTGGGAACAAGGTTGTTAAGATCGCGATCCGGATCGTAGGATCGTACGATCCTACGACCCAATATACAGCATTCGATCCGACTCGCATTTTGGATCGACTCCAGGTCAGGATTGTGGTGGGATCGTAATAGGGTCGTTGGGATCGGTGGGATCGTTTCTGGATTGCAACTCTGTGCGATCCAAATTTGAAGCTATTTTTCGCAACTTAAAAGCAAAATCGGGAGTACACAGACAGCGACGCAGAGAAGCAAAGCAAGCAGAGAAGCATACCTTGCGATTAGGGCAAATTTCAACGGCAAATTTCTGAATTTGAAGCCACAATCAACCAGGTATGCTTCTTCCTTCTTCTTCGAATCTTCTCTTCCTCTCTTCGTTGCTTTCTTTGCTGTTTCTTACTCTCTCTTCACTACTCTTTTCGTTGTTCTTCTGCTGCCTCTCTCTTCAAATCTCCTCTCTTTCTTCGTTGCTCAGTTCTCTTTCTTTCCCTTCACTGAGCTGGTTCCCTTCTTTTTGAGCTGCTCTCATTTTGTGGTTCGAATCAAACTCTTTTTTTTTTCTTTTTTTTTTCCTGTAAAATATATATTAGTGTATATTATATATATATATATATATATTTTTTTTTTTTGTTCTCTTTATATATATGTTTATGTTTTTTGTTCTCTTTTTTTTTTGTGTCTCTTTTTTTTTTTTTTTTTTTTTTTTTTTTTTAAAAATAAAACTTTTTTCTTTTTTTTTTTTTCTTTTTTTTTTTTTTTTTTTTCTTTATAAAAATGATATTCATGTGCACACCAAAGCTGAAGAAGAGGAGTGGTTTTTTATTTTATTTTTTTTAAATAAAGTGATGTTAGATCCTTCATGCACTACTGTTCTTCTTTATTTATTTTTCCTTCGGCGACCATGATAACTTCATTTAGTCTTTTATTTGTTCTTCCTTTATTTAGTTTGGCTTGTTTTCATTAAGAAACAATGACAATGGTGTGCAAGTGTTGATATTTGTTTTTATTATGCTTTTGACTTCTTTTTTTGGAAAAATGTGTTTGAATGGTACCTTAAATTGTTATATTTCTTTTTTGGGAGCTTATTCTATATATATTTTGATAGTATTACTTAGTTATATTAAAATTATTGCATTTTTTTTTATCATTTTAGTAGGATCTTACGAATCTCGATTCGATCCTACGATCCGATCCTACAGACCCCCAAAACGATCGTATATAGGATCCCGATCTTAACAACCTTGTATAAAAGAGTACTATGAGCGAATTGACTCAATCTTCACCAATTGCTAAGTGTACAAAACCTTAATTATTCTCTCTCTCTCTCTCTCTCTCTCTATATATATATATATATGAATTTAGCATCGAAGAGGTTTTCCAGCCATACCCCACCCAAGTGGACTCATAGTTCCCTATTTCGCAGGTCATACAAGTCTTTTCGAGTACTCTGAGTGAGCACTTTGGCCCCCATTCAGTCTTATAATATGAAATCACACCCGTATTAGTGAGGATTTCTGCCCCGTCATATTTCTCTCTTGACTTTCTATCTCCAAAACTTACTCTCTATATGAAAGGACAAAAAGAAAAAGTAAATTCCATTTTCCAAACATGCTTATTGCTCAAGAACGACACTTTCAAATTAAGATTTGAACAAAGGATGAAGAATCAGTATCATACCACCCATCTACAAGCTCAAAAAGAAATGGGAAAAAGACGCAAAAGAAACACAACATACAAGGTTTGTATGATTTGGCAAATTCAAGCCTAACATACGAAGCAAGCTTTAACTGAGATGATATAGGCATTACTTTGCTGACAAATATTAAGAAGACCAACATTTTTATATTGGAAAACCCCTCTCATCACATTTTTATAAGCATAGGACACATTGTCTGTGAACAAGAATTGGCAATAGACAAAATCTAAATGTGGATGGGCGTGATGTGAAACACTAATTTTTATTAAAATAATGAACCTAAAAGCAAGCCTGATAATTTTGTTATCATTAATCTGTACATACAATTAGACGTAATTGGAAATCATTACATTCAAATGAATCATAAATATAAGGTTTGAATATGTGGATTCTCTCCAAAGTCAGCTGGAAATTAAGAATTGAAATCCGGTCCAAATCGCTCTTATTTCCCCAATCAATCATCAATCCCCAATCGAAATCCGGTCCAAATCGCTCTTATTTCCCCAATCAATCATCAATCCCCAATCCAACCAATTACTAAACAACAACAAAGTCGAATAATTCTAAGTGTAAAATAAGGAAACCAAAAGCTAAATTGGATCAACCTTTTAAATTCACCAATCATAGTCACAAAAAAAAAAAAAAACAAGTAATAGATCGTTAAAATTGATGGACAAATGCACACAGAGTACCTGAATCAGAGCAGTGAAGACAGCAAACATCACGTACAGATCGATGATCTACAAGAGAAGAGTTTGGTTAGGGCAATCAATATTCCGATGGTCCATATAGAATCTGCATCTATGCATAGAGAGAGAGAGAGAGAGAGAGAGAGAGAGACCTTGAGGTTAGTGGGAGTGGCGGAATAAGCAGATCGGAGAGACTGAAAAAGCGCTTGAGCGTCCTTGGTCGTCGACGACTTCCCCATTTCCGACCTCTCTTCCCTGGTCCTTGTCTTCGTATATCGACGACAACTGAAGCTAAGCTTTGTTTTTGAAAAAACGCTCACTGATAGAATAGAAGTAAAACGCTGAAAAAATATAGGGTAAATTACACTTACACCCTCAGGTTTGGGTTTAATACATATCACTCCTTAACGTTTGAAAAATTACACTAACTTTCTGTCATTGTAATTATTTAGACGAAATAAAAATATTAAACTCATACACTCTCTCTTTTTTTTACTTTGCTTTCTCCTCACAGGTGTCGATGTAATTTACCCAAAAATATAAGGACTTGTTAATTAAGCAGACACCCCTAGTTATTATGAATTTGTACTTTTCAAACATTTGGATATCTAAATTATATCATAAAATTACCAACTTTGCATTAATTTACTTTCACTTGTTAAAATTCAAAGCAGAGGCTTATACTCTCCTTTTTTTTTTTTTTTTTTATTTTTATTTTTAACAATTAGAAGGTTTAATATATAATTAAATTTTATTAATGTGAATGTAACACATAATGTATAATAAGCTAATTTTTAGAGAGATACAGGGATTATTTGGAATGATTTAAATAAGTATAGTTTTTAATTTTTTACGAAAATATATACAAAAAAGTAGAGTAATGATGTAGCCTAAATAACTGCACTTATTTAATTTATGCCAAATAATGTCACATTCTAATTTTTCCTTTTGTATTTTCTTGGGTCCATAACGTATATATTGAAATATCAAAACTAGATAAATTTTTATGCATATTTGGTTGGATGGGCAAGGCTCTATCCATTCGATGAGTTGTTGCTACGGTGGGTGTGTACAAGGTAAATTTTGATGAAATGGTCTTTTAGCAGCAACAATTGATCGGGATGGGGTTGTTGTGTGTAATCATGTAAAGGTAGTGATAGTTTTCTCGTCTATACAAGTTCGGTGCTGGGCAATGGCTGATTGTGCTGAGACATATGCAACTTTGAGGGCGGTGATCTTTGCAATCAAGTTGGGTCTTCGTGGTATCCATATTGAAGGCGACTCTCTTACTATTATTCATGTTATTTGGAAGGGAAAGTTTGCAATGTGCACCTTATAAAAGGGCATATGATATGCACTTATTATGTGGTCCATATCGTGCCACATCATAAAAAATGATCTACTAAGCCGGTCATATAACAAGTTACAGAAAGAATCATAACTTTTTTTCAAATATCATAACAATACTACAATGAATCATAACAATGTCATAATATTCACCAAAGTGTCACAACAAAGACACTATAAATCATAATAATATAATGACAACTCATAACAAATATAGTTATTTGTAATTAATTATCATAACATTTGAATCGTAACATTTTTTATTATGATTCACCACGACAAATCATAACTTTTGGTAATATAAATCATAACTTTTACTAATAAATCATAACCCAACTTTTTTCTCCACAATCATAATAAAATTAACCAAATGTCATAACTTTTACTAATGAATTATAACCCCAACTTTTTTTTCCACAGTCATAGAGTAATGATGTAGCCTAAATAACTGCACTTATTTAATTTATGCCAAATAATGTCACATTCTAATTTTTCCTTTTGTATTTTCTTGGGTCCATAACGTATATATTGAAATATCAAAACTAGATAAATTTTTATGCATATTTGGTTGGATGGGCAAGGCTCTATCCATTCGATGAGTTGTTGCTACGGTGGGTGTGTACAAGGTAAATTTTGATGAAATGGTCTTTTAGCAGCAACAATTGATCGGGATGGGGTTGTTGTGTGTAATCATGTAAAGGTAGTGATAGTTTTCTCGTCTATACAAGTTCGGTGCTGGGCAATGGCTGATTGTGCTGAGACATATGCAACTTTGAGGGCGGTGATCTTTGCAATCAAGTTGGGTCTTCGTGGTATCCATATTGAAGGCGACTCTCTTACTATTATTCATGTTATTTGTAAGGGAAAGTCTACAATGTGCACCTTATAAAATGAAATATGATATGCACTTATTATGTGGTCCATATCGTGCCACATCATAAAAAATGACCTACTAGGCCGGTCATGTAACAGGTTACAGAAAGAATTATAACTTTTTTTCAAATATCATAACAATACTACAATGAATCATAACAATGTCATAATATTCACCAAAGTGTCACAACAAAGACACTATAAATCATAATAATATAATGACAACTCATAACAAATATAGTTATTTGTAATTAATTATCATAACATTTGAATCGTAACATTTTTTATTATGATTCACCACGACAAATCATAACTTTTGGTAATATAAATCATAACTTTTACTAATAAATCATAACTCCAACTTTTTTCTCCACAATCATAATAAGATTAACAAAATGTCATAACTTTTACTAATGAATTATAACCCCAACTTTTTTTTCCACAGTCATAATAAGATTAACAAAATGTCATAACTTTTACTAACGAATCATACCACTACAAAAAATTTCACTTTTGACGACTAAATTTTTAGTCGCTAAGGCCTTTAGCGACTAAATTTTTTGGTCGCAGAATTAGCAGCCGAAGAGTAGTCGAGAAAGCTAATTGGCGACTAAACTTATGTTAGTTGCCAAATGTATTCATTTACCGACTAAATATTTAGTCGCCAAAAGGTTGAAAAAAAAATTAAATAATACATTTTTGGCGACCAATTTTTTTGTCGCCAAAAGCCTCAATTATTGTTAATGACCAAATATTTAGTCGCGGAAAATGTTTTTAGCTACTAAATATATTAGTCCCCTAAAGTAAATACTAGTGTTTTGGCTACTAAAATTTTAGTGGCCTAAAATCAAACTTTTGTGGCTACTAAAATTTTTGTTGGCAAATAGTTTTTGTTTTGGCTACTAAAAATTTAGTCGCCTAAACTCCCACATCTGTGGCTACTAAAATTTTAGTCGGCAAATAGTTTTTGTTTTGGCTACTAAAAATTTAGTCGCCTAAACTCACATTTTTTGCTACTAAAATTCTAGTCGGCAAAAGTATTTTTATTCTTCAGCTTTTGTTTTTAGTTATGAAATATCTTAGTCGCCAAATGTTTGATTTTCTTTTGGTTACAAAATGTTTAGTCACCAAATGTTTTATTTATTTATTTATTTTTTTTTGCTACAAAACTTTTAGTTGCCAAAAACATGATATTATGTTTTAATTGCAAATATTATAATTTATCCATAACCTGTCGATATTCCATACAACCTGTAATACGTATATAAATAAAATGATACATATACTATCAAAATTGAGGAGGAATTAGTTCTTCATGTATTGTTGCACTGCTCTTTTGTGTGGAAGGTCTAGTCATCTTTATTAGCTTGGTGGGGGTTGCAGTGGGTCATTCTAGGTTCTATTGCTAATCTGCTGAGTTGGTGGGAGGGTGGTGTGTTTTTGAAGTAAGAAAAAAAACAAGATTTGGAGGACTGTACCTCTGGTGGCCCTGTGGTCTATATGGAAGCTAAGGAATGATTGTACATTTAATGGTGCTATTGTAGATGTTGGGGACCTTTCTGATTTGATTAAAGCTAAGGTGGCTATTTGGCTGGTTTCATTATCAAAGGGGTGGCATTACTCGGTTAGTGACTTTATGTATAATCTTAACCAGGTTCAAGCATGTATAAGTGGGGGTTGAGATCGTTGTTGGCAGCTATGGACTTTCCTGTTCTGTTTGCACTAGGCAGGGTTGAAGTGTTGGTTTTGCAGATCAGGAGCTCTGCTTTTGTTGAGATGCTGTTACTAATGCTATGATGCTACTGAGATGCGGAGATGCTGTTTTTGTTGCTAATGTTGGTGTTGAAATGTTGTTGCTGTTGTTTGCTGGGTAGAGTTTAGAGTTGCAAGGGGTGATTTTGTCATTGGTTGTTATGGATATTGGTGATTGCAGTTTTGTGGTTGTTTGTGTTTTGCTTGTTTGGTTTTGCTCTGTATGTTGGTTGCTCACCAACTTGGATCTTGGAGTTTGTGCTAGTAGATGATTTGATGTTAATGCCAACCTGGCTGGGATCTTGATGTTTCACTGTGATGTTTTTTGCACTCTCCTCTTTATTGATGTTCTGTATCATACTTTATATGTTTTTCCATCAATAAAACTTCTTTTTTGTTGATCAAAATATGAATAACCAATGAACTGGTTGGTTGGTTATCAAGAAAGTTCATAAACACAATTAACTTTGTTGTGTGTGTGTAATGCTATTTTTTCAAGTATTTGGGTTCGAATGTGGAGTCTGTAATCCACTTAGTTATTTTTTTTTATTTGTTTGAAGCGTGATTCACCTTGCTATATTGCATTTTAACACCTGCTTCATAGAATAGAATAACTTCTTCAAACTAACCATGTGTATGACTATTAAGACAGTAATATAAAGATTAACACATAATCGAATCAAATAGGACTTTGATGACACTTCATCTTGTAGATTCACTGAGCAGTCTACCAGCGGATTGCTTGTCCCCAGTCTTCGAATTGGTAAAGTTAATGAGTTTAAGCAACCAGAAAATTATCAGAAATGGTTTTATCATTATTCCTTATTGTTGGGATTTATTTCACATCCCTAAACATAAACGGAAGCAAGCACAATCACCCAAACACAATGATTTACGGGGTTTGACACAAACCTGCTTACATTCACAGATGAGAGATAATCCATTAAAAACTGTAGGGAATTAAACCATGGCCACTTCACTTTGAAATTCTCACAAAAGTGAATGAGCATCTGTAGACACCCCATTTTTGACCGACCTTGAGACTCAGACGTCACCAGTTGAGCGCTTGGTGATAGTGCATAATGTGCTCGTTCAGAAGTTTCAGAGTCTTAGCCGTGAACCCTGCCTCCGGATTTCCGAACCCTCTTCTGTGCCTTGCCTCGGTTTGCGAACCAAACTCGGTTTTCTCTGTTTCTTTTCCTGAGGGGAGGGAGAGATCCCGTAGATCATCTCTCAGTGGCCGTGGGCTACATTTTGTGGCTGTAGGCCATTTTGCCCATTTCGGAGCCCGGTTCCCGATTTTTCGGAGCCATTGGCCGTGTGCCTCGGTTCGGGACTGCTTAACCACCTCCATTTGCTTCGATTTTTGGCATACTTCTTATTTGCTCCCTTTTGAGGGACACTGAGGTCTGAGAGACCCACTTCGTGGTCGAATGCCACTTTCGGTGCTTAACAGGCAGTTTTCAGGGCCCCGAACTGCGCGTTCTGGCCCCCGAATATTCGTTTTGCATCGGTTTTCGTTCATTTTTGGCAGGTACCTCTGTTTCATCACCAGGAAGGTCGTAGAAGGGTGGGAGGCCAGCAATTGTTTCAGCAACCAGTTATATTCCTCTGGCGCCCTCCGACGCCCGTTTTTCTCACTTCCAAGCCAATGTTGACCACCTTAGGGCCACTTTCTTGCACCCAAAACCACATATTTGTGATGTACACACCTGGGAGGCCACCAATATCATATGGTCGGCCACTAATGTTGCTTGACCCTTTTGAACCCCTCCTAAAAGTGGGTTGTTCTCTCTCCTGGGTCACTTTCTCCAGTTTTTGACCACATGGTTGTATTGTGCACACCTGGGAGGCCACCAATATTATATGGTCGGCTACTAATTCTCATTGACCTTTTTGACCCTTGGCCGGCCGGCCATAAGAGGTGGCCGGCCGGCCAGCCACCTGCAACTTGGAAAACTAGCTGGCCATGATCCTCAGGGTTAGTACATTACAAATATGTATTCATTTTCCCCGGATTTGGTATCCGGGAGGGGGTTGCCATTTTGGAGGGAAACTTGGTTGGTTTTCCCCCCACTTTTTCCCTCATTTTCTCCCCCTCTTTGGTCTATATAACTGGCCTCCAGCATTGGTCTTGGGGGTTGGAAAAAATTGCTTAAGAGCCTCTTGCATTATATCCCTCCATCCCTCTCATTTCTTTCAAAAAACACCCAAATTCTATCCCATTTTCACACCACTACCTAGCATCACCACCACTACTCCATTTCCAGCAGCTTGGGGAGCTTTCCAGCAGCTAGGAGGCATCACTTCTCAAGCCAAGAAGCAACCAAGGGTTGGTCTCCAAGGGTAAGTGACAATTCCCTCTTTTTGAGTTTAATTTTGCAACATTTTTTTAGCTATTTTTCTTGCTGTTTTGATGTCGCGAAAACTGAAAATCTTTACGACGACGAAATCTTTTGTCGCCAATACTATTATTTCAGCTACTAAATCTGTAGTCGCTGAAAGGGTCACTGTTGTTTGGCTACTAAACATGTTAGTCGGCTATACTTTTTTGTTATATTTTGGCGACCAAAAATGTTGTCGCCAAAAATGTTTTTCATTTGTTTTGGCGACTAAAATTGTTGTCGCCAAAAATGATTTGACTTTTAGCTACTAAATAGTTAGTCACCAAAAGTGTTTCGAGTTGTTTTAGCTACTATATATTTAGTCGCCAAAAGTGTTTCGATTTTTTTTAGCTACTAAATATTTAGTCGCCAAAAGATTTATTTCTTTTTTGGCTACTAATTGTTTTGTCACCAAAAACATCGTCTTATATTTTTATTTTGTTTTTTTTATTTTAATAAATTTTATTAGAACCTGTATCCATCGCAACCTGTAATAGGTATACAAACAAATCAATATATATATTATCACCTATTCCGTAATGCATGTTTCACTTATAACCATCAAACAAAAAAGAACACCTTACAATGTAAACTTATATACAAACCAACTAATATATTCCAATTACAAATAATAACGTCATACATTCCAACTATGTTACCAAAACAATGTCCTCTATACACAACATTGTTACTAGTTGTGGGGACATATTTGTAGATAGTCCATGTCGCTGAGGTTGTTAGCCAAGGTGCCACGTGGGTGGACCATGGTGCCAAGATATGGTGCGATAATACCGAAATTCAAGATATTTGGATAGAGGACTAGAGTCCTAGATGACATTAAACTACCTATTTGGATAGAGATGAGACTCTTGAGGGAGTTCATCTTAATTTAAATAGTGTGAGTTATGATAAATGTTATCCTTGTAAGGGATAGAGTCCTATGAAGTAAGACTTTTAGGGGAAGTTGGACACTGATCATTATAAAAGTAAGACACCATCGTGGGTTTAAGGTATGCTTTATTTAAGATGCTTTTATTCTTTCATTGTTGAAGTTTAAGTACTTGTATTGATCTCTGTGAGAGATAAGATTATTGACTTGATCGTCGAAGTACCCCCGGGTGGACGAACCACCGCGGTATTCTCATATTCTTGTTGGCAAGTGTTCGGGCTTAATCTATTCTGCCGGTGCTCTCTAGCTGAGTTCTCCGTTTGGTTGTGTGGTCGGAAATCAACACCCACACAAACTATAGGGACTAAAATAAAATTTAAAAAATAGAGATTAAAAATATAATTAACCTTATTATCAAATAATGTGATTGACATAGATGAAATGTCTTTAATGTAATTTTGATAAGTTAAAAGTCAATATTTAGACAATAGAACTTATAAGTAATTCTTATCTACCTCTTCAATAATAAGTTTTTCATATTATTTAATTTTTTACCTTTTAAGTTGTAAACAAATGTTATAGTAGTGAGAAATTGCAACACATTAAGTTGATCATTCCCTTAATTACTTAACAAATGTGAATCAGCATGTCCTACCCATGAAATTTTTTGTTATACTGTTGATTTAGAACACCACGTGACAATATCATATAATACTTCAGACTATTTAATAATTACTCATAAATTATATCAAATATGATCATTATTTTATTTTTTAGAGGGTCAAATATGATCATTATTGATTTTGTAGATAGGTCCTATTTCCAATATGCTACTGGATGATTGTAACAGCTTAACTTACCAAATTTAAGGTGTTTAAAATTTGGGATAAATTTTACAAATTACACTCAATCATGAGATTGGGTTTTAAATCTTGCCATAAGCAGGACTTTCACTCTCCCAAATTATAGCCTCTAATGTATTTGAAAAAGAAAAATTTTACTTTGGAAAGTTATGGATGCTTATGGTTTGATTTGGTCGGTATTTGTGAAGAATTGGCCTCCCAACCAAATTAATCGGTTTGAAAAAATGTTATGAAATGAAAACAGACCAATCATTAATATTAATCGCACCAAACAGTTGGGCATTTGACTAATTCAATTTTATGTGAGTTAATGTTAGTCTGGTTCAGTTGGTAGAGTTTGAACCTTGGGCACAAAGGGAGTCTTCATAGTAATGCATGCTTCAAGAACAACGATGATGGTTTGCAGAGGCTAAGAGAAAGAGAGTCTAGGGACACAGATAGAGACAAAATAGGAAGATGAAATGGTTTTGCTAGAATTAGAAAAATATGGCAAAAAGTTATGATTTTGAGTCCTGACGTGCCCTTGCTAACGTCAGACGGCAGGGGGCGGAACTGATGCGACATGATGGGGACGTGATTGGTACGCTTCAATCTCATGATGATCTTGATTGAGAAATGCAATCTTAGTTTTTGGTGATGACGGACACGTGGCCTTTGGCACCGAGTCAGGGTTTCCTAAATTCCCCCTTAATAAAATATTTAGGTGGCGACTCTGTATCTGGCAAAGCAGTCCATGTTTGGCACTTCTTTCAAAATCTGTTTTCTCAAAACGATTTGCCGGATTTGGACTCTTTGGTTCAGATTTAGAACCGTAACAATTTGAGAGTCCTGAGCTGTAGTGACCCCAAATGAACAGAACGGGAGCTCGTTTCTCCCGGGGCGTTCGGGGACGTCTACAGCATCGGAGGCATCATCGAAATGTATGGATGGCAAACTTAAGGAGGAATTATTTCAACAAACAATCCATGGTCATTTCTTTTACTTCTTACTGTCGTTGTACTGCTTTTACTCACTGTGACGCATATTGTATTGGCCATTCTCTCTTATCATCCTCATCCATAGGCAAATATGTAGGCCTCAAAAATCTTGTTTGTTGTTCTCTGAAGCAGATGTATTTCGATTAATTATAAAATGTAATGAATAATCACTCAATTGGTTGTCGACATTGTCATTTGACAAAAAAATTCAGAAAACAGAATATGTAGCTTCACTTGAAGGGAGTTCATGTTTCCCCAAAATTAAAAAAACTACACCAAACAAGTGTGCTTTTTTATGACCCAACACAGGAAATTTGAATGGCCAAACTATTTTCACTCATGTTTCTCCAAAATTAAATTTAAACTATGAAAATAATTAAAATTAAAATTAAAACCAAAGCAAATAACAAAGAACACTACTTTTTCCTCCAAAAAAAAACAGAACACTACTTAATATTCCAACTGTAATACGCCCAGATAGTACTTTTTCATCCACTCAAATGCAAGATATAATTAAACAACGCAACCAATATCATATCTGTTCAATTGCTTGAGAAATTAAAAGGTCCAAAAGGCGGACGCAAAAGATACCATCAGGTAATACCATCTGTAACAAATGAAGTGTGTTCTCTACACACTTCAAAAATGGAAAACCACGCAAAGTCTTCAGAGTACTAAGGAGATGCAACAAATTCTACGTTTACCTATACGAATCTGCACGACTTTTTCCTCAAAAAAAAAACAGAACACTACTTAATATTCCAACTGTAATACGCCCAGATAGTACTTTTTCATCTACTCAAATACAAGGTATAATTAAACAACGCAACCAATATCTGTTCAATTGCTTGAGAAATTAAAAGGTCCAAAAGGCGGACGCAAAAGATACCATCAGGTAACACCATTTGTAACAAATAAAGTGTGTTCTCTACACACTTCAGAAATGGAAAACCACGCAAAGTCTTTAGAGTACTACTACAGATAAAAACACAAGGAGATGCAACAAATTCTACGTTCACCTATACGAATCTGCCCGCTTTGGCTTGCTTTGAACAACAACATCAATCTTCTCCAGCACCGTAGGTGTTAGTAATGGGATGACATCAACGGCCTTCATGTTCTCCTAAATCTGCATTAATGAAAAATCATGGCTTTTAATGTGGACATATATATATGTATATATATATATATATATATTAGAGACAAAAAGAAAGACCAATGAAAATGAGACATTAATGAAGGCAGAGCTTACATGCCACATGGTTTAGTGACACATTGCAAGATCAACCTTAAATATGTCTTTGCATAATGCTTACATAGTAAATGTGTATCCCATAGCCATCCATATCTATATCTATTTATTTTTAAAAGGAGAAGATAAATCAGAAAATTTGATGACACTAAAATTGGATTTAAACAGTTAAACAAGCAAGTAAACTTGTATGCAACGCTATTGCATTTAGCATATAAAGAACAAAAAGAAAATGTACAAGGACAATAAAAACAATGTAGATTTGATATTGAAATGAATTTTGTGTAAGACCTACTAGAAAAACATAAAGTGGTTGCCCATTGGCTCAAAGAATGGTTTGAGTTCATCTATAATAATACAATACTAAAAATTATACATATATATTTTCCATATGCATATTGGTTGTACCCATATCCTAATTTTTAGATATTTTCTCTATTTTTCATTTCTTAGTTTAGAACAAAATCTATTTCATTAACACAAACAATTCATGAAGAAAAAAAATGCTGAAAGAAAGACAACTTCACAAGTGAAATGCATTTGCAAAAGCATGAGCTCTGAAATACAAAACCAACTTAGGTAGAGAAAATCAAATAAAAACAAAACTAAACCACAGAACCCCAGAATTGCACCCTTAAGCCAAAACTGACCTGAGACTTTTTTGCAGCACCAGTAATAACGGATGAGACATTAGGGTTTGTAGCACACCACGCGATTGCAAGTTGAGATAAAGGCACACCTAGTTCGTCTGCAATTGGTTTCAATCCATTAACCTTTTTCAGCACATCCTTCACCAATGATCTGCTAGCAAGGTTCTACCATACAAAAAGATAAAAATCAGATATATGAAAAGACAAAAATAATATAATATAAAGATGCTGGTGAGGCACCACAAGTTAGAAGTATGAAAATGTCAAATCATCAACTACACAACTAGCTTACGGTAGATGCCCAGATTAGGATGTTCCACATAATCCAGTAATCCTATTCTCAACACTCGGAACCATGAAAAGAAGATTAAAAAACAGAAAAGAAAATGCAAAATTCAACTATGCTACTGGTAAATAATAAGGAATAGGAGTCAATGATGGTTACAGAGTCAACCTATACACCAAGACACGGATAACACCTTAAACCCCGTAACAAATCGATCATTAAGTAAATTGGAGGGCTTATCCAGACCAATTCAACTTGCAAGTTCAATAGTTTGAAAAAAATGCATGGGTTGTAAGATCAACTTTGCATAAAACTACTCAGGTTTGAGCAGAAAAGATATATGAAAACTAGACTAGAACTTTTGTATAGATGTTGACAATCAATGTCCCCAAATGGTGGATGTAAGCCACCAACTCCCCCAACTTCTCTGATTTTCTGGCTTTGATTTCATTTCCCAAACCAAGTTGGTGATAAATTCTGAAATTTGAAGATTTAAAGGAAAAGAAAACTAAATCAAAATGTTATTTTTAAATGGTTAGTTTCACCTTTTTGTGTCACATCCTAAAAGGATGCTTGTGATTGGAACATTGCATTGAAGAGAAAATTAAGGAGAAAACCAAAAAGAATGAGATTCTACCATGTAAATGATACAAATGAAGAACAAGAACCAGTGAAATATAGTAGTGCTCAACAGAAAAAGAGGGGAGGAAAGAGAGTGTTGTCCGTTCTCTCGCAACCTAGTTTACCTACTCAATGAAAACTAGGATTACTATCCCATGTTACAGAAATTAATGTAGCATTGCATATGCCAATATATCTTCACAAAAGAATCTATGCATCCATATATTTCACATAAAAAATACTTAGCCATCCACAGATGAATGTCTTCATGTTTTTATTTTAATAAAGTAAGATAACAAAGATAAAAGATGAATTATGCAGAGAGTACATTCACCAAAAATTACAGGAGACTTGAGTGAAAATTTAACAAAGCCAAATATAAATTATGATAAAACTTTAAATAAATAGGTACTTCAGCAAACAAAATTGTAACTTCCAAATAGGTTTGCCTTGTAATTTTCCAATGCAAACCGACTATCAGGTGGGATGGTTCCAGAGTTATATTTTCCAGTCAAAACTCCTGATGCAAGTGGACTCCAAGTGGTAAGACCTAGACCATAGTTAGTGTATAGAGGGAGGTACTCAGACTCAACCTGCAATATGGCAAAAATATGTCAGAATTATAGCCAAGTAATATGTATAATCAACCAAATCAAAATCTCCAAATTTAGAGGCAAAATATGCAGCTACAACAGAGAAAATGAATATTATAGTGAGTCAAAAGCACCAATGACCAGGACTACATCATGCAATAACAGGGGAACAAATGAAAAATTGAGAAGCAGAAACAAATGTCCCTATTCAAGCTATAGAAACTCAAAAAACTTATGCTCAATAACTTGTAAAGTTTGAAGCCAATGTCATCCTATACTAAGATCATCCACCAATGCAAGCCGTTTATCTTCCCAGACGCTACTTTTGATCCTTTTTTTCTCTTCAAAATTAACTTCTGAAAGCAAGTGCACTAGGTGGGAGCTCATATGCTCACCATGTGCTATTTTGGACAAATTAAAAAGAATGCGACATATACACCAAGTCTAGCCTTCCTTTCATATATAGTACAGATAAATATAAAATGTTTTCCACTTTTTCTAGCAAGTCAATTATATTGGTCAAAGTTAGTTGAGCCTAATTGATTCCATAAATACTTTATGAGATTATCAGGAATCGATTAGATCAAAGATTAATGTTAAATATATATATAAGTGGATTGTTTGGTTAAGGTGTTTGCTCAGGATTGATTTACAGTCAGTGCCAACTTATTTGGGGTGTATTTTTATTTTGTGAAGTTTTCTCCTTAATCTTTATTGACTTTTGCGTTGAGTTAATTAAGTTTTCTTCTATTAATCAATATATATAAACTAAGTGTTCTATTAATCAATATATATAAACTAAGTGTTCATTTGGTTTTCTTACCATTAGTTACAAATGTTGTTGGGGTTTTACATTAATAGATACATATACGAAATCCTAGAATCTATGTAGGCTCTAGAACAGCCACAGGGACGAGGCGGGGGGGGGGGAGTTCATTATGTCAGTACTCAAAAATATATAAACTAAGTATTCTATTAATCAATATTTATAAACTAGTGTTCATTTGATTTTCTTACCATTAGTTACAAATGTTGTTGGGCTTACATTAATAGATACACATATGAAATCCTAGAATCTATGTAGGCTCTAGAACGCCCGCGCGCGGGAAAGAGGGGTTGAGTTCATTATGTCAGTACTCAAATAATTGTAAAAAATAGTTCTCACCATACATTTTAATTTTCAATCGTTGAGTTTTAAGAAAAGTTAATTCAAATTATTGATTTTGAAATATGACCAAAGACCATTTTTATTTAAAAAAAAGTCACTATAATGAATCGTGATGAACACCACGATGGGTTATAACTAAATATCACAATGGGTTGTGACCAACTTTGATTTGACAATTTGTTAGCTTGCACTCCAATGACAATTTGTTTTGACAATTCTCTTCTGATAAAAAAATAAAAGAAGCATACAATAAACTTAACCCAATTCATTTGTCACTGTACATTCTGATCCTATTTTCATAGAAAGCATCATTTTTCACATGAACATATTTGACAGAAATTAATAAAATTGAAGTTTATTCTGTTTGATTACACATCAGATTTCACAAACTCAACCAAAATTTCAAGATATATCTATATATATGGAGTCAAAACAACTACCAAATCAAACAAACATTACAAACAAAAGCCATTCATATCATCTTTTCCTAAATTTAGAATCCAACCACTCCAAGTGAGTTCACAAACGTGAAAGGGGCATTTTGAAGAATGGGAAGCAAGAATCGATACAGGAAATAGGGGTTAACAAAAGGGGATTTCGAAGAAGGGAATCAGAACAACTACCAAAGCAAACAAACATAAAAAACCTAAACTTAATATTTTTCTATTTTTATAAACCAACCCAGTGAGTTCACAAACGCGAAAGGGGCAGTTTCAAAGAAAGGGATTGCGGTCTAGGGTTTCATAGATTGAATATGGAGAAAGGGGGAGAGAAAAAAGTTGTAGAGAGAGAGAGAGAGAGACATACCTTCATGCAAAGTCGATGATAGGTCGTGTTCGCAAGGATGGTCTTCGAGGGCGAAGAAGAGTGTCTGCGTGCTGTCTCAAAAACAGAGGGGTTTTGGGAAAAAAACTGACGAAATTTGAAAAAAAGGTAACCGGTTGAAGAGGTTCTCAAGATTCCTAATCAAATTATTCAGTGACTGAGATTAATTTGTGAAAATCTAATGGCTTAAAATAAATGTGTATATGATGTACACATCTTATTGAGGTGCACATCTTAACATCTCCCTATTTGTAATGGTACATACTTGTCATCTCCTTTTGGCTACATCTTGCAAGATGCTTATATAAAGGGGCATCAATTTTGTCAATTTTAAGGGGATGTTTTGGAAAGTTGGTTAAAAGTTAATTTTTTTACTTTTTTTACTTTTTGTGATTTTTTTGGCTAAAAAAACTAGCTTTTGTGACCTTTTTAACTAAAAAAGTTAAAAAAAGTAAGAAGTTAGCTTTTTATGAAATTCACAAAAACACCCATAAAATATCTCGTATGACCTGTCTTTGCAATAAGATGGCACATGGTGCCTGTTTGGCAGAGCTTAATTACAGCTTATTTCAGCTTTCAGCTTAATTTAAGCTATTTTGATGTGTTTAGTTTAGCTTATAGCTTATAGCTTATAACTTTTTGGAAGTCAGAAATCAGCTTATTCTTTGAGTGTGGCAGGAGATGCTTTAAGAATAAGCTGGAAATCAGCTTAAGCTGAAAGTTATAAGCTATAAGCTGTTGAGGCATAAGCTATAAGCACTTTCCCACAGCTCTACCAAACAGGGCCATGGTCTAGTTCGCATGGCATGTTATACTACTAAAGCCTCGTTTGGCAAGTTAACATTTTAGTCAAAAAGTCAAAAAATTACTTTAAAAAGTCAATATATCTATAACCTATACAAAAAGTCAAAAATTTCATTTTCTCTATATTTTGTGCACATCTTTTCGTAAAAAGTCAAAAAGACACCCTGAACATACTAATTTTTTTATCTTATATTTTAGCTAAAAAGTCAAAAAATTATTAAAATAGCATGTTCCCAAACGTGGCCTAAGTCATTTATTTGGATTGAAGAAGTTCCTTTGTCTCTTTTGCCGCTTGTTCTTGATGAAACTTTGTTGTTTGGTTTGATTTGGGAATACAATCTTAAAATTTAAATAATAATAATAATAAAAAAAAGGAGAAATTATCAGAAAGTCCTATTTACCAATCTATTACTCCATCTGGTCCCACGTTCATTCTTTTGGATTAACAAGTCCTGTTTGATATGTTTTGTGAACAATCAAGTCCCGTTTTAAATTTATGTGATGTGTGTGTGGACGGATTTAACCCTATTTTGTTTTTTCTCTACAGCTGTATATATGGGATGTGTGTGTGGACGGATTTTGTAGGATACATTTCCTCATCCACGTTTGGCAATTCGGATCTGTCATTCAAAATCCCCATTACCATCATCGCTGTCTTCACTCTCAGATTATCATCACACTCCACAAGCTCCTCCATGGCCGATCTCAGCCTTCCGATCACTAATTCTACGTGATTCGCATCTCCGTTCACCGCCGTCCTCGCCGCCTCCACCACCACCAGCGCCGCCATCCTCGCCTGAACCCTAACCACCTCCTCCTCCAATTCCCTCTCTTCTCCTCCTACCTCCGCCGCTAATCTTTCCAATCTCCTCCTCTGCTCCGTCGATAGATCCAATCCCCAACACCTCCGACTATCACTCAGTCCGACACCACCGAGTCTGATCATGAACCCCCTGATCAAACCCTCTTTTCAGCCGATTCGGATGCACCTCCCAAACCCTCAACGAGTTCGTTCAAGTACTGGGATGAAGACGAATTCGGAGGCCTCCCTGTACAACACCAACGTCCAGAAACGGCGAATTTAATTCGGAATCCGAAAATTGAAAAAACTGTGAAGAATGCTGCTAATGTTCAACGATGGTATATAGTTGAGATTGGGTGCGGATGGTTTTTGATTTAGGTTCACGTCAAAACATCAACCAATGGTAAGGTTCACGTCGAGACGTCACAAATGGCAATTGGAAAACAAAGGGTCAAACTGTGGGAAAGTCGAAACGTGACACAATCCACGTCGGAAAAAAAAAATGTGTCAAATTATTTGTGTTCACGTCACAACCCACGTCACAAAAAAAAAAAAAAAAACAACAACAAAAAATGTGTGAAAATACTTGTGTTCACGTCACAACCTACGTCTCATGTTTTGAGTGTTACACACTTACTAAATTAAAAAAAGTATTAGTGTGCTTTTTCGATCAGCGTGACATACAAACACCCATTCACCGTATCTCATACAAACCCACATCAAATGTCAATCAATAATACTAGCAGTGGCAAAACTGTCAACAAATAAATTAAGGGACCACCTAGTCACTAAGAAAACATTCAGGACCTTATGGATTACAAGTCCACAATATGGGATTTACTGGTCAATTCCCCTAATAATAACAATAAATAGAAATTCTATAATATCGGGAATGGAACCTTCCTAAGTATCATAAAAATGAAAAATTTAATCAAAATCTCTTCATTATATTTTTATGAAAAAATTATCAATAAATCTCACTTTTGGAAATATTATTCTATTTAGTCCTGGATGTTTTTTTATATTCTGCTTGGTCCTTTTCGAGTGTAAAGAATCTGTGTACTTGATTTGTTATTGATGATGTTTATAGTTTTACCCTGTGTAATGAAAATGAGTAAATTTCGACAAAAAATGTGAATTTTGTACTTTAATGGTAACACAGTGTAACATTTTTGTCTTATATAATATTTGATTCAGTGATTTGTGTTGCATTGGTTAGGTTGTTGGGTTTTGTGTTTACTCGTTGTGGGGTTTTTGTCTTCGAAGTTTGTCGTGCTGTGTTAGGTATTCTGGTGCCGCCGATGATCTTGTATCTTCTCCATCAAGGTAAGTGTGTAATGGTTTTTGTTTATTGGTTTTGGATTGTGTGGGTTTTTCGTTTTTTTAATTTTTTTGTATTTAGTTGATGGGTGTGGGTTTGGGGAATGTGTTGTTGGGGGGTTGTGTTATTTATTTTTTTATTTTTTTTGGGGTTGCAGCCATGGAGGTTGTTTTGCTGTGTACGTTCAACCAAACGAATGTCGTCATTCGACTTCATCAAGCGTTGACATTTGCAGAGTTGGTAAGTGGGATTTGCGGGAAGGTTGATAGTTTGGACCCCGAGATGGTGGTGTTATTGTTTTCTATACCCGGGTACAATAAGTTTAAGGTTGCATGTAATGAGGATGTTCAGAATATGTCGTCCCTAACCAAGTCTTTCGGTCTCTATCATGTCAATGTTCTCATTGAACAGCGATATGTTAGAGACAGCGTAAATCGCAGTGCCGGTGATTGTAGATTTGATGTTGAGAGCACCACCGGTGGTCACAAGTTTTTCGAGGTAGATAACCTAGCAAACCTGTTACCGTCGTGTTGCCAGCATAGATATAAGACGTACTTGACGGCTGATTGGGCAAGTAGTATTTCAAATGTGGGTCAATTTTTTAATAGGTGGAACGAACAAATTTTGGACAGTGCTTTCCAAATACGTTGTCGAGTGTGGTTTTCAATTTAGGTATGTTAAAAATGATTCGATTCGTGTTATAGCCATGTGTAAGTTTGCAGAGTCGACAGGTTATGCGTGGTTGGTACATGTGAGGGTGCTAACATCGAACGGTATCTTTTGTTTGAAGAGGCTCAATAGTTTGCACACGTGTGGTGTGGCCGTGCGAACATCTAGGAATCCACGCACCGATACTGATTTGGTAGCCGACGTTGTCGAGGATCGTGTTCGTGCCCAGCCATTGACGCGTCCCACCGACGTCGTCTTTGGCTTGAAAAATGACTACGGTCTTGATATTAGTTATCAAGTGGCTTGGCTTGGTGTTGAGAAAGCACGAGGTGAAGTGTATGGTGATCATGTTGTGTCGTTTGACCAACTTAGGTGGTATAATGATGCTGCGATGGAAAATAACTCAAATAGCTACATAAATCTAGACTTTGAGCAGCGTACCGAAAGGTTTGTGAGGTATTTCATATCGTTTTGTGCATACGCAAATGGGTTCAAGCATTGTCAACCGTTATTATTTCTGGATGGTACATTTCTAAATGGCAGATTCAAGGGTAATTTGCTTGCAGCTACGGCGAAGGACGGGAACCAAGGTAATGTGTGTGTTGTGCTTTTTTGGGAAATTTATATTATATCAATTATGTATCCACGTTTACTGCTCCATTTTTTCATTATTCTCCCCATTTTGTTAGGGTGGCCCGACATTGTGGATGGTGTGATTTATTGTTTGTGTCATGAGGCTGGTAATTGGTGGTGTTTATTTATTTGTTTTTTATGTATACATCTTGTGGGTAGGGGAGGGGGGGTTAACGTTTTCGGTACATGGGGTTTTGGGTTTATGTTTGTTGTGATTTGTTCCACTGGCCGGATATAGGTTTGTTCTCTATCGCATTCGCAATTGTTGATTCCGAAAATGCAGCAAACTAAGAGTGGTTTCTTCGTCAGTTGTCAGAGGTTGTTGACCGTGATCAAACGTTAACATTTGTATCGGACCGTCACATTGGTCTATTACAAGCTATGCCGCATGTATTCCCATCGGCCCATCATGCATTCTGTTTATTACATCTTCAAATGAACCTAAGAGACCGTATGAAATATGTCAAAGCCGAGCAGAAAATTGGATTGATGCGCAAGTTATGCGAATTCGCGTACGCACCTACGGTGACATTGTTTAATCAGAAAATTAAGACGTTGAAATTGTGTAGCCCGACAGTTGTTAGGGAGTTTTTGAAAGATTTACACCCGGAACATTGGGCTAATGCTTATTTCAGGTACGTATATGCAATGGGTTTTTTTTTCCCTCCCATTTTGGTTACAAGTTGTGTTTAATGCATGATTGTGGCGTGCGTGTAGGGGTCGTCGATATGGTGAGATGTGTTCAAACGCTGCCAAGTCATTTAACAATTGGATTCGAGAAGCCCGTCATCTTCCTATTACGCAGTTGGTTGATGCTATTAGGGGTCAAATTATGGAGCAAATGTCAAAGCGTAGGGTGAAATCTAGCAAGTGGGCTGCCCAGATCTGTCCAAAAATGGATAAGAAATTGGAGGTTGAATACAAAACTAGTAGAGCTTAGATTGTAAGTCAATCGATTAAAGATGCCTATGAGGTTCACTCACAGCTGTCGGTATTAGTTGATGTAAATCGGCAAACATGTTCATGTTGCCAGTGGCAAGTGAATGGGTTCTCGTGTTCGCACGCTATGGTTGCATTTCGTAATAGTAGGCGAAACATATATGATTCGATTAAGTCTTATTACCATGTTATTGAGTTCAGAGCAACGTACTCCGAGTCTATCCACCATATTCCGACAGTTGAGAAACCCACTGTCACGCCTAATGAATATATTATAGCACCGCTTGCTGCCAAGCCCCCACCGAGAAGGCCAAAACGGAATAGGATTCCATCTAGGGGTGAGGTAGTCCAACGTATTCGGTGTAGCCGATGTGGGAAGATGGGTAACCATAACAAGAAGGCATGCAAGGAACTGATTTAGCCATAGCGCAAGCTCAACATATTCGTTATTTAATTATGTCGTATTTTTTGTAACCATATTTCGTATTGTCCGATATAGGTACATGGAATTTTATAATTTTGAGATTATGTAGACCTTGTTGGCGTTGCATTATAAGACATCAATTTCCATTAAAATACCATCCCGCTATGTTAACATTTGCTCATTATAGCGATCCCAGATTTTAACCCGGCTCTTATGGTGTTCTGAACTCGGGTCTTGTGGTTAATGCTGTTATTTATGTCATTTCTCTCTTCCACTCTTTGAATTTGAATTTGAATTTTAGAATGTCTTGGGCGTGTTTAGAACAGGTTGGTTGCTAATTAGTCTAGAACCTTGTTGCCCATAATTTTGGTATTCCGCTCGAGCGGGGTTTGCAATCTTTCAGTACTTTGTATGTTTGCAGAAATGCTACAGAAGTGTTTTTCACGCTCGAGCGAAGCTTCTTACGCTCAAGCGAGTCTGAGCTCGAGCGGCCCCTCTGGCGCTCGAGCGACTGTCTGAAGTCTGTAAAATACTAGACGAGTGTATTCTACGCTCGAGCGGATCTCATTGCACTCGAGCGGATAGTGCCTTGTTGTTGTGTCTTGGCGCTCGAGCGGGTCGAATTTATGTGTTTGACGCTTGAGCGTCAAGCTCTCCGCTTGAGCGGACTGTGCATATATCAGATTGTGAAAGTGACTTTTTAAATCACTTTTTCTGTCATTTCTCTCTCCAAAACTTTCCAAAACCCTAAGTTGATAGCCTCTCTCTCTAAAATACTCTCTCTCTCTCTCTCTCTACATTTTGACCTAGATCTAGTATTCTCCTCACCCTCATTCCTTTGATAAAAAGTTTGAGCTCTTCAAGATCTCCATTTTCATCCGAGTGAAAGTTGGTTTCGTCGTCTTTGGAGCTAATCTCTTGCTTGGCTCGTCTTCTCTTTTTGAGGTAGGGATATTATACTCTCATATATGGGTTTTAACATAGATGTTGGTCATTTTGTATAAATGGTGTGATTTTGGAATTTTGGTTGAAGTTAGGGTTCGAGTTGAAATTATAAAAGAGGGGTTCCTATTGTTGGGTTCCATATGTGTGTGTGAGGTCTTGAAAATGGGGTTGTTTGTGTAATATGGGTGAAATTTGGCTTTGGGGGCAACATTT